TTTTTTTTAACATTCGGTATTTTAGTTAGGGTGTTTAGACCATTCACATTGAACGTGATTGTCGAGACGGTTAGCTTCAAGTCCATTATCTCGCTGTTTGTTTCCTGAATGTCTCACCTGATCTTTGTTTCCCCTTTCTGCTTTTTCTGCCTTGTTTTAGATTATTGGAGTAGTAAATTTTAGGATTCTGTTTTATCTCCTTTGTTGGCTTATTGGCTATAACTCATTATTACATTGGTAGTGGCTTTAGGGTTTTGTTGTTGTTGTTTTTTAACGTTTATTTATTTTTGGGACAGAGAGAGACAGAGCATGAACGGGGGAGGGGCAGAGAGAGAGGGAGACACAGAATCTGAAGCAGGCTCCAGGCTCCGAGCCGTCAGCCCAGAGAGCCCGACGCGGGGCTCAAACTCACGGACCGCGAGATCGTGACCTGAGCTGAAGTCGGACCCTTAACCGACTGAGCCACCCAGGCGCCCCATGGGTTTTTAACTACGCATCTTTAACTCACCACAGTCGAACCTTCAAGTAATTGGATAACACCTTGCGTGCAGAATTAGTGCACCTCTGTCTCTTCCCCTGGCCCTTATATTATTATCGTTATGCATCTTATTTTCCATATGTTATAAACCCCCGAATGCCTTGTTATTATTTTCGTTCGAACAGCCAGTTATTTTTAGAGAGATTTCAATAATACAAAGTCTTATATTTTTACCCACATAGTTCCTCGTTTCACAGCTATGCATCCCTCTGTGTAGATCCATGTTTCCATCAGGTATCATGTTCCAGAAAGAACTAGATCAATGTAAATCCTTTCACATTTCTTGTGGTGTAGGTTTGCTAGTAATGGATTTTTCCAGCTTTTGTGTATCTAAAAAAGTCTTTATTCAGGGGGCACCTGGGTGGCTCAGTGGGTTAATCATTGGACTTTGGCTCAGGTCATGGTCTCACGGTTCATGAGATCGAGCCCCACATCAGGCTGTGCGCTGGTGGTACGGAGCCTGCTTGGGATTCTCTCTCTCCCTCTCTGTCTCTCTTTCTCTGCCCCTTCCCCACTTGTGCTTGCTCTCTCTTTCTCTCTCTCTCTCTCCAAATAAATAAATAAATAAACTTTTTTTGAAAAGTCTCTATTTTGCCTTCATTTCCGAAAGCTATCTTTGCTACGTGTGGCATTCTAGTTTGACGGTTTTTTTTTTTTTTTTTTTTTTTTTTTTTTTTTTTTTTTTTTTTTTTTGAAGTCTTGAAGTAATTTAAAGATGTTGTTCTATTTTCTTCTTGCTTTTACTGTTTCCAGCACGAAATCTCCTGGTTTCCTTGTCTTTGCTCCTATGTATAAAACATGTCTTCTGTTTGTTTTGTGGCTGGCTCTTTGGATGAATTTCTCTCCACTCCTGATTTTGAGCAGTTTGATTACGGTGTGCGCTGGCATCGTTTTCTTCTTTTTTTTTCCCCCCCTTGTGGTTGGGGTTTGTTGAGCTTCTTAGATCTGTGGGTTTGGAGTTTTTATTCAATTGGGGGATATTCAGCCTTCCTTCTTCAAATATGTCTCGTGTCCCCTCCCTTTTCCTTCAAGGACCCCACTGGTGTGTGTGTGTGTGTGTGTGTGTGTGTGTGGCTTCCTGCACTTGCCCCACAGCTCACTGACGCTCTTTTTCATCTATCTGACTGTTTTCCCTCTGTGTGGTTCATTTTGGATGGTTTCTGTCGCTGCATCTTCAAGTTCACTCATCTTTCCTCCTGCGGCCCCGAGTCTGTCATTAATCCCATGTGGTGTAGTGTTCATCTTAGATTTTTTTCTGTCCTTAAAAGTTCTCTTTGGGTCTCTTTTTTAATTTTTATTATTTTTTTGGAATGCTTATTTATTTTTGAGAGAGAGAGAGACAGTGCGAGCAGGGGGCGGGGTGGGGGCAGAGAGAGGACAGAATCCGAAGCAGGGTCCAGGCTCGGGGCTGCCAGCAGAGAGCCCGATGGGGGGCTCCAACTCACGGACCACAAGATCATGACTTGAGCCAAAGTCGGACACTTAACCGACTGAGACACCCAGGCGCCCCCTTTGGGTCTCTTTTATATCTTCCATGTCTCTACTTAACTTTTTTTTTTTTTTTAATTTTTTTTTTCAACGTTTATTTATTTTTGGGACAGAGAGAGACAGAGCATGAACGGGGGAGGGGCAGAGAGAGAGGGAGACACAGAATCGGAAACAGGCTCCAGGCTCCGAGCCATCAGCCCAGAGCCTGACGCGGGGCTCGAACTCACGGACCGCGAGATCGTGACCTGGCTGAAGTCGGACGCTTAACCGACTGCGCCACCCAGGCGCCCCTCTACTTAACTTTTTGATCATATATTATGCAGATATCATAATATTAATATCCTTTGTTGCCAATTCTTTTTTTTTTTAACGTTTATTTATTTTTGAGACAGAGACAGAGCATGAACGGGGGAGGGTCAGAGAGAGGGAGACACAGAATCTGAAACAGGCTCCAGGCTCTGAGCTGTCAGCACAGAGTCCGACGTGGGGCTCGAACTCACGGACCGCGAGACCATGACCTGAACCGAAGTCGACCGCTTAACTGACTGAGCCACCCAGGCGCCCCACTTTGGTGCCAATTCTAACATCTGTGTGTGTTCTGGGTTGATTTTGACAGATTGACTTTTCTCCACATTTTAGATTTTCCTGGCTCTTTGCTTACCTGGTAATTTTTCATTAGATTCCAGGCGTTGTGAATTTCAACTTATTGGGTGCTGGATATTTTTGCATTCTTATAAATATCCTTGAACTTTGTTCTGGCACAGTTACTTGAAAACAACTTTTTCCCTTTTTTTGAAGTTTTATTTATTTTGAGACAGAAAGAGAGCGAGCGAGCATATGTGTGCGAGTTGGGGAGGGGCAGAGAGAGGGAGAATGAGGATCTCAAGCAGGCCCCCCCCCCCGGGCTGTTGGAGCCCGACGCGGGGCTCAATCCCATGACCCTGGGATGATGACCTGAGCCAAACCAAGAGTTTAACCAACCGAGCCACCCAGGTGCCCCACAGCTTGTTCCTTTGGGGTATTGCCTTTAGGTTTTTTAACCTGGAACCAGAACAGCTTTCATCGAAGGCTAATTAATTATTCCTCATTTCTGAGGCAAAACCCTCCTCTTACTCTACCGGTGCCCTGTGAATTATGAGGTCTTCCACCCCAGCTGGTGGGGACACACACCATTCCCGTCCCCATGAGAGCCACGGGCACCTTTCCCTCTGACCATTTTGGATGAGTCTTTACCGAGCTTCGTGTGGTCTCTTCCCACGCGCTTCGCGGAATCCTCGAGGGCAACGCTGTCCGGATCTCTGGCGTTTTCCTCCGTGCCGCCGTCTCCTCTGCTGTACTTTGTCCTGTGGACTCTTGCCACCTTGGTCCCAGGCACTCGGCTCCCTTCCAACTCAGGGAGTCCGCCGGGCTCTGCCTGGGCCGCCCCCTCCCCCAGCTGTGGCCTGGAAACTCTCCCAAGGTGGTAGTTTATTTTTCTTTCTCTCAGCAAGACTTCTTTGATGGACGCCTGATGTCTTACCGACCGTCCTTTCATATACTCTACCTGTTGTCTTTTCGCTGTTCTGGATGGGAGAGAGCTCTAGCCCCTGTTGCTCTGTCTTGTTTGGAAGCAGAAGTTCAACGTGTTTTGGTTTTGTTTTTGTTTTTTAACTCAGTGACAGTTCCTAGACGGGCAGGGATGTACTATTTTGACTCTTAGTTTGTGAAGACACACAAAGCTGAGAAAAATTCACACGGAGGAGGAGATATCTTCTGAAGTGAGCTCCAGATATTAAATGGCCAATTTGATTTACCTGAGCGATTTTCTTTCCAGAGCCGTTAAACTTTTCCCTTGCGTTTTGTTTTTCCAGAAGGTACCGTTCGCGGCATCACTTCTCAGTGGAGGGAGGAGCAAAGTGGGGTCCGATTGCCCAGGATCAAACCGTGCCCTCAGAACCTCTTCCTCCTCTCGTGGGCCACTCTCCCCTGTCCCTCAGGGGCCCCGCGACGGGTCACGGAGGCCGGGAGGCAGCCCCTGAGGGCCTTCTGCTCGCATTAGTCCCGGTGGGGAAGCAGGCGGCTACCGGGCGTGATGCCACAGTGAGCATGCTCGTGGCACGCCTTCTAGGGCGCCTTCCCGCAGGGAAGCATCCCCGGGATGGATGTGCCACTCAGGGCGCGGAGCTTAGCCGGTGTTGGCTCTGGGGGCTTCGCTCCGAACCCCCCCTCAGCCGCGAGGGCTTTGTGATTCTCCGCCCCTTGCAGCGAAGGGGGCCCCAGGCTGAAGCAGAGGCATCTCAGGAGGGCTTTCAGGCAGTGACTGGCCCCGGGGGAGGGGACTTGGGGCTTCGCCGCCGCCACACGGGACGCCCCCCGCTCGCTTGTGAGGTGTCTCCCGTAGCCGGCTCCTGTTTTCTCTCACTAGATTCAGACAAAGACTGTAGCCCAGTGTGTTGAGTACTATTACATCTGGAAAAAAATGATCAAGTTTGACTGTGGCCGAGCCCCAGGGCTGGAGAAGAGGGTCAAGAGAGAGCCAGAGGAGGCAGACAGGACAGAAGCAAAGGTAGAAGGGCTGGGGGAAGGTGGGGGCTGGAGGTCAGCCCTGATCGGGAGGCCCCGGCCCATCCAGCTCAAGGAACAGGGAAGGGCGCCCGGAGGGAAGGGTTTCCCTGCGGAGGAAAGCGCCTCCCTCAGAAGGGTGGGGGGCCGGCACCCCTACGGCTGCGTCTCTGTTCTCGCAGGTCACCTGCAGCCCTCGGGAGAGACCCAGCCACCGCCCCACTCCCGAGTTCAAGATGAAGACCAAGAGTTACAGGAGGGAGTCCATTCTCAACTCTAGCCCAAACGCCGGCCCCAAGCGGACCCCCGAGGCGCCGGCGAGTGCGGAGGGCCGGGGCGTTTTCCCCTGCAGGGAGTGTGAGAGGTAGCAGCCCTTCCCCCGGACGTGCCCTGTGCCCCTGTGCCCGCACCCCCTGCCCTCGGGTGACCCCCCTGCCGCCTGCTCTGACCCACGCCCTCTGGTGGCTCCTCAGGGTGTTCGACAAAATCAAGAGTCGAAACGCCCACATGAAGCGACACCGGCTTCAGGACCACGTGGAGCCCGTCGTCCGGGTGAAGTGGCCTGTGAAGCCTTTCCAGCTGAAGGAGGACGAGGAGGAGGAGATGGGGGCCGACATCGGGCCCCTGCAGTGGTGACGCCTGGGTGGAGAGCTGGGGCGAGGCGGCGAGGCGGCCCCGCAGCCCTTCCCCTCGGCCTCTCCGGGGTGTCTGGGGCCCCCCTCTGCCTCCTCCCCACCCTCACCGTCCCGCAGTGGCCAGCCCGGCTTGGAAACACGGTGGGCGTTTGGCCGTAAGTAGGCAGGAGAAGCACCCAGTCGCCAGACCGCAGTGACGTCCCCGTCGGCCGGTGCCAGAGGCTCCACGCTCTTTAGCTTGATAGTGTCTCCCCTTCTTTCAGTTCTACTCTGTCCCGGAGCAGGGAGGCGTGGGGAGGGAGCGAGGCAGACCTGGGTAGCTCTCAAATCTTAGCCTCAGTTTTGGGGTTTGGTTACATTTGTTAGATAAGGCCGAGATGTAGAGAATCAGTGGGAAGACACCTTCAGATCTGTGGCCTGTTGGGGCCCCTCCCCAGGGGAGTCTCTCTGCTTTCCAGATTCAGTCCCTAGTCTGGCAAGGACTTGTACATGGTTAGGTTTTTTTTGTACGTGTCGACTTGTAAGTCTTATTAAATTGGGTTCTTGAGCGGCTGTCTTCTGGCTTCCCTGGTCTGCTGATCCAACAGAGTTTCGAGCCCCGGCTTCTCACTAGAGCCACGGAGATGCGTAAGCGGAGTTCCCGCCCAGGAGGAGCTGGGGGCCTCATACACGCGTTCAGCCAGCACCTATTAGGCACCTAATGAGCCAGACAGCGCCCGGTCCGTGCAACGGGGCCACCGTGATGCAAGGAGCAAGGTCCCTCTCCCCGTGGAGCTTGCGTTCTAGGAGTGGGAAGGCAGCGGTGATAAATAAATGAAAAGGCGATTGCAGACACTGGCCGTGGCTATGCTCGCGGCCACAGGAGCAGGAAGGTCACCATAGGGTTCAGCAATCGGGGCATACAGTGGTGGGGTGGCTCAGCCGGGAGATCCAGGACCGCCAGCGGCAGCCAGCCTCGGCGTGGCAGACCTTCGGAGGGGGCGGGGAAGAGAGCACAGCCCTCCCTTGTGTCCCTTTTTTTAAAAATTTTTTTCTTTAATGTTTATTGATTTTGAGAGAGCGTGTGCGCACTCGCACAAGTGGGGGTGGTGCAGAGGGAGAGGGAGACACGGAATCCGAAGCAGGCTGCAGGCTCTGAGCTGTCAGCACAGAGCCTGACGCGGGGCTCGAACTCACAAACCGCAAGATC